CCACTTTCTGTCTGTGGATTTGCCTGTGTGGGAATTTTGCATGCATGAAAGTCACAATATGTGTCCTTTTATGTCTGGCTTCTTCCACTTGGCATAATGTTTTTCAAGGTTTGTTACATTCTGGAATGTATCAGGTATCATTTCTGTTCAGACTGGCCCTTCCTGGGGTCACAATGTGTTTATATCCATCAACCAATGATGGGCACAGGGGGGTTTCACCACTGGCCTATGGTGAATCGCTTTGTGTCGATGTGTGTTCTTTCTCTTAAGTATATTCTTAGGACGGAAGTGCTTATGTGTTTACTGTTTTATTGTGGAGAAATTTTTACTATATAGAATTGGAGAATACCCTAATGAATCCCACATACCATGTCACCCATGACCCGTTTGTGACATGTTTTATCCTCACTCTCCCTCCTGGCACTGGGACCTGTTGAAACTGACCTCAGGTACTACACTATGTCTTCATGTAAAAGAGTGTGGAGGCAGCATGGGACCTCCTCTGACTGCAAAGAGAGAAGGGGAGTTGGACTCATCAGCCCAGTGCTGATTCCTTAGGTAGAGGTCAGACACGCCTCCAGCCTCAACCTCCTTAGCAATTCTTCCTTCCGTCTGCACCCTTCCTCTCCTCTGGGTTCAATAGTCGGCTTTAATGAGCATATTGGAGCTCTGGTGGCATAGTTGCTGCGTGTTGAGCTGCTGACCACAAAGTCCTCAGTTCAGAACCACAGGAGAAAGACGGGGCTCTCTACCTCCATAAAAAGCTTCAGTCTCGAAAACTCAACTGGGGCAGTTCTACTCTGTCCTATAGGGTCGCTATGAGTTAGCATCAGCGCAATGGCACGGAGTTCTTGAGTAATAGCCATGCAGAACTCATGGACAATACTCACGATTAGGGGGCTTATTAAGAGAAATTAGCAGGTTCTAATTCAGGGTCAGAGATGTCCAGGATCCAGTTCTTTGCAGTTTGCCATACAATCGAGACTGCCCGCATGCCTGTTCTACCCCCTGCACAAACTTTCCCTGCTATTAACATGTGGGCAGCAGCTGCCCTAATGCTGGCCAAGCCCAGGTCAGGTTCGGGGCCTGATGCTACATGGGTGTGTTCTGATCTCTATAAAGCAGTACGTGTGCCGAGTTTTCTCCTGGATCGTGTTGAGGTTGATAAGAGGATCCGTTAACATGGCCCTTCCTTATCAGTCCATCGACTCTGCAGGCCCTTTGGCCTTTGGGAGTCCCCGTGTAGATCTGTGCTATGCCAGGTGACCAGCCGGCTCCATGCTCCAAGCACAACTTTCCCTCTTCGGCCTCCCACGCGACCTGTACAAGGGAGGCGCCATCCAGGCTGGCTTCTTCACTTGCCAGGCTTCACATGAATGCGTTGGGCTTGGTTTTAATACAATTATGGACGGACTCACAGAGTTCAAATTGGCTGTCTAGCCTTTTTTTGTTTTTTAATGTGCAGTTGTCCCATATTTGGTTCACATTTGGCTCACATCCGCCCCTTGGGGATTGACTCCGGAGTCCTGGTAGTCTCTAGAAACTTTCCAGCTTTGTGGCCTCACAAGACCAGTCCTGCTGTCTCTGGAGCCGGCATCCTGCCCCTCAATGGAAAACTGGTAGAGATCACCGTTGGTATCAGGGAAGCTTAAAACTACTATGATACCTTTTCCTCTCGGCTTTTCCAGTTTATGATACAAGAAAACTGGCGATTTTGTTTGAGGAAATCTGTCATGAATTTATATTGATATTTCCAATTCAGATTTAGGAGTGCTGAATATTTACCCACCTTCTTTGTTTTTATGATGTTTGAGTCCTTTCTTCCTTTTACGATAACATCTAAGGACATGACCATTATTAGTTACCGGAAACCCTGGATGAAGCACATGGCTCATGTGCTCCACGGTGAAGCCTAAAGCGGGGGTTGGCATCCACCCAGAGGCACATTGGACAACGGCCTGGCGCTTTCCTTCTGAAAAGTCAGCCAGTGAAGCTGGTGGAGCACAGCTCTGCTATAATGCACATGGGTCCCCAGGTGGGGTTGACTTGCTGGCTCCTGGCTGTTTCGTCTCTGTAATCATCCCAGAGTTGCTGTTAGGTACCACCAAGTCCGTCCTGATGCATAGCGACCCTGTGTACATGGAACAAAACACACTGTGACCATCCATCCAGTGGGCCATTAAAGGGACGGGCTCTTGAGGCAGCCGAGAATGTGAATGAGCCTCTAACACATTACGCCAAGTGCAAGAAGCCAGACATGAAAGGCCACCCATCATGTGCTTTCCGCTTATATGAAATTCCAGAACAGGCACCTCCATAGACAAAGTGGACTGGCGG